TTTTTCTGCTTTTCATTTGTTTTATGTTCTTCTCATTGACTACAATGCATCACTATCTTTAATTAAAATGCTTAAATATCAATAACCGCGCATTTGCTTAAAAAAAGCCAGAATATGTGTCTAATTATTTTTCGCCCTCTACAATATAAACCAGAAAAAAATCGAAAAAAATCGTACCAATTGGGCACCTTCCCTTGTTAGAAGAATCTCTTGATATTTGCCTTAGTGTTGCAAATGTAGTCTCAATCATTTTATTTGGTCATCGGTATGACTATGAGGATCCATTTTCTATTGAAATGGCCAACAGTTTAAAGAAAGTAACTCCTGAAATCAAGAAAACAGTTGGATTCCACCGTCAATCTGATTATTCAGACAGAACTTCAATACTTTTTACAATGGCGTTCATTCATTTTCATTCATCTCTACGAATGGCAATAATCACTTCTTTTAATTTACACAGACTCGCCGCGAAAGAAAAAAAGATAATTCATGGCAGAGTCATTTCTTACTCAAAGATGCAAAAGTTATTTCCAACTTTTGGTCTGCGATCTAAATCTATGAATTGACCCTCATTCATTCAAACCAGAGAGATTCCTCAGTGAAGATGGACAGAAAGTAATTAAGTCGCCAAATTTGATGCCATTCAGAGGAAAAAAAGGATCTGTCCAGGTGCAACTTTGGCCTTGAGCGAGCTGTTTCTTTGGTAAAGGCCCAAAACAGCCAAATACAATATATAAGTATTAATAAAAAGCTGTTGGCTGGATGATGGTCGATTAGCGATGCTTCATGTTTGCTGTATTGCTGTACGAGCTATAGCTGGTGGAGGTACAATGGGTTGAAGAGTAGGTAGAGGTGGTCTTGTTGTCGCTTGTGTGCGTAAAGTTGTGAGTAACATCTAAGTCACTCACAGGTCGATTGATAGGCGTTTGAGATTGGTAAAATCAGCTGAATTTTATCAAGTTATATCAACGAGGTCGAAAATTCTCTATGAATGCGCATCAATTGAATTGAATCTAGTTGTGCGTCTTTTATATTTTTGTAATTTTTATGCAAATGGAAGAGACAACTTTCCTGAAGATAATCTGAAGATTTCTTTCTCAACTGCAATTTGATAGTGTATTGATGTTATTGTAACACTTTTGAAGACAAGAGATACTCAATACATAGAATAAAAAGATATAAGAAATGAAATGAAAATTGAAGTGTTTACTTCATTCCAATAGCTATTTTATACCTAAAGATACAATAGTTATTTTCATTTTTTGGGCTGTTCATCGTGATCCAAATCTATGGAATGATCCTGATTCATTCAGACCAGAGAGATTCCTCAGCGAAGGTAAGAAAGTTATTAAGTCACTATATTTACTATATTAATATATCACTTTATTTGATGCCATTTAGTGGAGGCAAAAGTATCTGTCCAGGTGTAGCTTTGGCTTTGATAGAGTTGTTTCCCTATTTGGTTTTAATACTAAAAAATTCTAAAAAGTTTTAACTTCAGTAGAGGATGAAATATCAGACGAAGTTGCTTATATTAATTATATGTTTTCCTCAGAATGCTTAAAAGCCAATCAAACTCATTACTCAAACTTTTAAGGAAAACTAACAAATTTACACGAAACAATATCTTGTCTCAGAATCTCCCATCTCCCAAATAATCTCAACAACTCTGAGTCTTTACTAATCTTTAATGATTTACTTTATTATTGGAAGCTCATCTCTGTTAATAATACAATTTTTGTACGTAAATTGTACTGATTTTATAATATTTGCTATTTTGTGCAGAAATTTTGTTTTATTCAACAGCAATCAGACGGCGAATTGAAGTTGTTGTAACACTTTTAAAGAGAGGAGATACTTGATACATACAATTATGAGATATAAACGGTGAAATAAAACCTGTAGTGTTGAATTCATTCCAATTATTTGTAAGCGTTAAACGACTTAACATGCTTCTAAACGTAAACCCAACTTTATTCAACATATTTTGCACTTGTACAACTGTTTGGTTGATCAAGCATTTGTTCAACTTTATTAATCGGCTTCGTAAACTTCCTCCCGGTCCATGGGGTCTACCTTTTGTGGGTTATTTGCCATTCATTAAAAAAGATGCTTATATTCAAATGACTGAACTGGCTAAAAAGTATGGACCAGTTTTCAGCTTCAAATGTGGTCAGTTCGATGTGGTTGTGATAAACGAGGTGAAAGCCATTGAAGAAGCTTTTAAGAACGATCATCTATTGGCTCGTCCAACTACAAGTTTTATTCCTGCGTTTAAACGTGCTCCTTCAATAATTGAGATGTCGGGTGAACCTTGGCGGCAGCAGAGACGAGTTGCCCTGACTATACTTCGCCATGTTGGTCTTGGAAAAAGTACACTTGAAGAAAAGATGAAAGAAGAGGTTCGTTACTTCATTGAATCTCTAAAATCAACTCATGGCGAAAAAATTGACTTTAGTGAAGTGATTAAATCAAGTGTTGCGAATATTATCTCAATCCTTTTGTTTGGACATCGATTTGAATATAATGATCCAATGGGAATTGAAATGTGTCGTAATGTGAAGCAAATTAGTGATAATGCTGAATACTTCAGTAGATACATATTTATGCCTTTAATAACTTTTTTCGTTTCCCTGGCAGCTCAATTCAATTCTGAACTTAAAAAAGTGACCATCAATCAGAGAGAACTAGAAAAGAAAATCACAATAGAAGTTGCTAAACACAAGGAAAAGGATTCAACTCATGAAATTGAAGATTATATCGATGGATTCTTGCAAGAAATGGACAAGCAGAAAGATTCCCACACAAGTTTTAATATGGACACATTGCGGCGGAATACTGCCGATTTTTATAGTGCAGGCTCTGACACTACAACAATCGTACTGAATTTCATCATGTTATATTTAATTACTTATCCTGAATATCAACAAAAAATACGAGATGAAATCAAACAAACTATTGGATCTGAGCGTCAACCTGATTATGCAGACAGAAATTCATTGCCTTTTACAATGGCGTTTATATATGAGTCTCTACGAATGGCAACAATTGTTCCTCTCAATGCCCATAGACGCGCTTCTCAAGACACGAAGATAATGAATTTCTTTATACCCAAAGATACAATAGTTATTTTGAACTTCTGGTCTGTTCATCGTGATCCAAATCTATGGAATGACCCTCTCTCATTCAAATCAGAGAGATTCCTCAGTGAGGATGGGACAAAAGTGATTAAGTCACCAAATTTGATGGCATTTAGTGGAGGCAAAAGGATCTGTCCAGGATCAACGCTTGCCATGACAAAGCTGTTTCTTTATTTGGTTTCAATACTACAAAACTTTCAAGTGTCAGCTCCAGAAGGAGATAAAATATCTGAAGAAGTGAAATATAATCTCAATAGGATGCTTAAAAAACCGATGAAAGTTCATTTTCACGTTTAGAAGGATAGTTAGTTCAGCTTTCTTAATAAATGTTCTTGAGTCGGATCTTAATATAATTCCTGGCTATGAATATTGAATAAAATAAAATCATTAATAGTAACTGTGCTATATAATATGCATAAATTATTGCAACTGATGGTTTCGGGAAAAGTACTCTTGAAGAAAAGATCAGAGACTTTTCGTTTTCATCTTCAACGTTTTTAATTAATCGAAATGTTTTTACTTCTCGCGGTTTTTTCTGAAAATAAATCGCCCCTTATCTTTGATGAATATTGAATTTTGCTATCTGTTTCATAATATAGATATTGTATGATGTGATAAATAAAGATAAACTGCAAATGAAAAGCAAATACATCATAAATGAACTCTTGATTAAAATAAAATAGAGTCGCTGAAATGTGGGTTACTTTCCATTCATCAAGAAAGATGTTTGTATTCAGATGACTGAATTGGGTAAAAAGTATGAACCAGTATTCAGCTTTAAATGTACGATAGCTTTAAATGTCAGCTATTTGTAGGAAGAGAAAAAACTACTAATAAAAATAAGCAAAGAAAAGTTGTCAGAGATTGTGTTTTGTTGAGCTACAATCTGATGGTGAATCGATGATATTTATCACTTTTGGGGACAAGAGATGCTTGATACATTCAATCCAAAGATATAAAAAATGAAATTAAAATTGAAGTGTTTACTTGATTCCAATGAGTTGTAAGCGCTTCACATCTCAACATGTTTCTCAACGTAAACCCAACTCTATTCAACATTTTTTGTGGTTGTTTAACTGTTTGGTTGATCAAGCATTTGTTCAACTTTATTAATCGACTTCAAAAACTTCCTCCTGGTCCATGGGGTTTACCTTTTGTGGGTTATTTGCCATTCATCAAGAAAGATGCTTACATACAAATGACTGAACTGGCTAAAAAGTATGGACCAGTTTTCAGCTTCAAATGTGGTCAGTTTGATGTGGTTGTGATAAACGAAGTAAAAGCCATTGAAGAAGCTCTAAGGAACGACCATTTATTAGCTCGTCCGGATGCAAACTTTGTTCCTGGATTCAAACGTGCTCCTTCATTAATTGAAATGTCGGGTGAGCCTTGGAGACAGCAAAGACAAGTTGCTCTAACAATACTTAGCGATGTTGGTCTTGGAAAAAGTACACTTGAAGAAAAGATCAAAGAAGAGATTGGTTTCTTCATTGAATCTCTAAAATCAGCAAATAGTAAGAATGGTGATTTCAATGAGATTATTGGATTGAGTGTGGCGAATAATATCTCAATCCTTTTATTTGGACATCGCTTTGAATATAATGATCCTGTGGGAATCGAAATGTATCGTAATGTGAAGCAAGTTATTGAAAGTGTTACATATTTCAGTAAATTCATGTTCATGCCTATTATGCTTGTTTCTGTTTCCTTGACTGCCCATTTCAATTCGGCCCTCAGAAAACTAACCAGTAACTCGCAACAGCTCGAAAAGAAAGTTACAATAGAAGTTGCTAAACATAGAGAAAAGGGAGCAACTCATGAAATTGAAGATTATATCGATGGATTCTTGCAAGAAATGGATAAGCAGAAAGATTCCAATTCGAGTTTTAATATGGACACACTGCGAAGAAATACTGCTGATTTTTACACTGCAGGATCCGGCACCACAACACATGTATTGAACTTCATGATGTTATATTTGATTACTAATCCTGAATGTCAACGAAAAATTCGAGACGAAATTAAGCAAACTATTGGATTCGAAAGACAACCAGATTATGCAGACAGAACTTCAATGCCTTTCACAATGGCGTTTATTTTTGAATCTCTACGAATGGCAACACTAGTTCCTCTTAATCCTCATAGACGTGCTGCTCGAGACACGAAGGTTATGAACTTCTTTATTCCTGAAGATACAATAGTTATTCTCAACTTCTGGGCTGTTCATCGTGATCCAAATCTATGGAATGATCCTCATTCTTTTAGACCAGACAGATTTCTTGATAAAGATGAGACAACAGTAATAAAGTCCCCAAATTTGATGCCATTTAGTGGAGGTAAAAGGATATGTCCAGGTGCAACTTTGGCTTTGATGGAGCTGTTTCTTTATTTGGTTTCAATACTGCAAAACTTTCAAGTTTCAGCTCCAGAAGGAGATAATATATCTGACGAAGTTAATTATGTCTTTCTCAGAATGGTCAAAAACCCTGTAAAACTCTATTTTAACCCTTTGAAGGAAAACTAGTAAATGTTTACTAAACATTATCTTGACTCAAAACCTGAGTAGCTTGAATATCAACAAAAAAAGATGAAATTAAGTAAACAATTGAATGCGAACGTCAACCTGATTATGCAGACAGAACTTCAATGCCTTTTACGATGGCTTCATCTATGAATCTCTACCAATGGCAACAATAGTTCCTCTTAATGTCCTAAATGTCCTGTTCCAAAACACAAAGGTAATGAGCTATACCTAAAGATACTCTCAACTTCTGGGCTGTTCAATGCTGATGATGGGATGATGAATTGAAGTTATTGTAACACTTACGATGCTAAGAGACACTCAATATATAAAATGAAAAGATATAAGAAATGAAATTAAAATTGAAGTGTTTATTTGATTGCAATGAGCTGTAAGCGCTTAACAACTCAACATGTTTATCAACTTAAACCCAACTCTTATTCAACATCTTGATTTAAAATATTTTTTTCCTGATCTAATCGCTTTTTCGAGTACACGTGCCTAGAAAAAAAACAAAAATACAGAAATGAATACAAATTACTGTAAAACAGTCAAGTAAAATTTAACTCATTCCTTTACAATATTTTTGTCGATACAATCGTTAGTAGTCGACCCATATAATAGTAAATTAGAGATGTTGCGTACTTTTTAAAGCTATGATCAGCTTGATACATAAAATTCAAAGATATAAGCAATGAAATATAAATTGAAGTGTGCACTTCATTCCAATAGTTTGCAAGCGCTTTCCAAACCCAACTTTACGTATACAACAATTTTCCTAGTTGCTTAACTGTTTGGTTGATCAAGTATGTGTTACACTTAATCGACTTCACAAACTTCTTCCAGGACCACAGGGTTTACCTCTTGTGGGTTATTTGCCATTCATGAAAAAAGATGCTTATATTAAAATGACTGAATTGGGTAAAAAGTATGGATCAGTATTCAGCTTCAAATGTGGTCAGTTTGATGTGTTGTCATCAACGAGGTAAAATCTATTGAAGAAGCTTTAAAGAACGACAATTTATTAGCTCATCCGGATGCAAACTTTGTTCCTGGATTCAAACGTGCTCCTTCATTTATTGAAATGTCGAGCGAGCCTTGGAAACAGCAAAGGCAAGTTGCTCTAACAATACTTAGCGATGTTGGTTTTGGAAAAAGTACACTTGAAGAAAAGATCAAACTTCATCAAACTTTAATTCCTGGACATGATCCTTCAACAATTGAATTTCGGGTGAAACTTGAAAACAACAGAGACAAGTTGCTCTTACAATACTTCGCAATGTTGGTCTTGGAAAAAATACTCTCGCAGATAAGATGAAAGAAAAGATTTGCAATTTTTTGATCAGAAAAGCTGGATGAATATTAGATAGATATCAATTCAATGGAAAACGATTAGGCAGTACATCATAAATGAACTTATTTTATCTTGACCCGAAATCATTTTGTTGATTCGAATACAGTCGAATCATATGACAATAAATTAAAGCTGTTTTTTACTTTTTAAAGTCAAGAGATGCTTAATGCTTGATATAAAAGATGTGTAGTTTAGTTTTAATAGCATTGATGTGTTTAGTTAACTCTCGATATTTTCAAGAACTAAGTGATTCAACATGTTTCTTTATCATTTTAACTTAAACCCAACTTTATTCAACATATTTTGCGCTTGTTTAACTGTTTGGTTGGTCAAGCATTTGTTCAACTTTATTAATCGACTTCAAAAACTTCCCCCTGGTCCATGGGGTTTACCTTTTGTGGGCTACTTTCCATCAAAGGCTCATCAAGAAAGATGCTTATATTCAAATGACTGAACTGGCTAAAAAGTATGGACCAGTATTCAGCTTCAAATGTGGTCAATGCGATGTGGTTGTGATCAACGAAGTGAAAGCCATTGAAGAAGCTTTCAAGAATGATCAATTATTAGCTCGACCGAATGCAACTTTCTTTCCTGGATATAATCCTTCATTTGTTGAAATGTCGGGTGAACCTTGGTGACAGCAGAGACGAGTTGCTCTAACAATACTTCGTAATGTTGGTCTTGGGAAAAGTACGCTCGAAGAAAAGATCAAAGAAGAAATTATTTTCTTTATTGACTCTTTAAAATCAGCATCGGGTAAAGAAGTTGATTTTAGCGAGTTGAGTGGATTGAGTGTCGCTAATAATGTCTCAATCCTTTTGTTTGGCCATAGGTTTGAATATGATGATCCAATTGGAATTGAAATGCAACGCAACATGAAGCTAGTTAGTGATAATGTTGAATACTTCAGTAAATTTATGTTTATGCCTTCAATATTTTTTTTCGTTTCTCTGGCTGCTAAATTCAGTTCGGGACTCAAAAAAGTGACAAGCAATCAGAAGGAACTAGAAGAGAAAATCACTGAGGAAGTTACTAAACATAAGGAAAAGAAAGCAACTCATGAAATCGAGGATTATATCGATGGTTATTTACAAGAAATGGATAAGCACAAGGATTCGAAAACGAGTTTTAATATTGAAACATTGCGACGTAATACTGCTGATTTTTATGCCGCTGGTTCCGACACTACAACAAATACATTGAGTTTCATGATGTTATATTTGATTACTTATCCTGAATATCAACGAAAAATTAGAGATGAAATTAAGCAAATCATTGGATTCGAACGTCAACCAGATTATGCAGACAGAACTTCGATGCCTTTTACAATGGCATTCATTTATGAATCTCTACGAATGTCAACTCTCGTTCAGTAATAGTGATTTTGTGGACTAAATAATAAAGTTCAATTGAATTTGCCAATCACATTGTTTATTAATTCAGTAAAACTGGATTACAAAATGTAAATCCGTTTGATGTGGTTGTGAAGAACCTAAAGATTTGATCAATAACCAGACTGAGTTAGAGAAGAAAATCACTGATGAAGTTACTGAACTTAAGGAAAAGAAAGAAACTCATGAAATTCAAGATTATATCGATGGATTCTTGCAAGAAATGTACAATCAGAAGGATTCAAATACAACTTTTACTATGAACACATTGCGAACAAATACTGCCACTTTTTATAGTGCAGGCTCCGACACTACAACACATGTATTGAGCTATCTCATGTTATACTTGATTACTTATCCCGAATTCGAGATGAAATTAAGGAAACTATTGGATTCGACCGTCAACTTGATTATGCAGACAGAACTTCAATGCCTTTCACAATGGCGTTTATTTTTGAATCTCTACGAATGGCAACACTAGTTCCTCTTAATCCTCATAGACGTGCTGCTCGAGACACGAAGGTTATGAACTTCTTTATTCCTGAAGATGCAGTAGTTATTTTCAACTTTTGGGCTGTTCATCGTGATCCGAATCTACGGAATGACCCTAATCCATTAAAACCAGAGAGATTTCTTAGTAATGTTTGTCAGAAAGTAATTAAGTCACCAAATTTGAGGCCATTTAGTGAAGAAGAAGGATCTGTCCAGAAGGTAATTTGGTTTTGACTGAGCTGTTTCTTTATTTGGTTTCAATTGTGCAAAATGTCCAAGTTTCAGCTTCAGAGGGAGATGAGATATCAAACGAAATAAATTATATTTTCCTCAGGATGCTTGAAAACCCGATGAAACTCATTTTCCACTCTTCAAAAAAAAATAATAAATGTTAACGAAACAGTCTCTTAAGCCAGAATCTTCCAATGGTTTCAAGTTTACTGAAATGAGTTTACTAATGTTTCTCATCATAAGAATTATTGCAAAGTTGAATCATTATTTCAAACAGCTTTTCATTTGTTAAATTGAAATCATACATTCGCATTTCGCTAATATCATCAGCAGCTATTAGAAGGTTCTGGTTATAATCGACTGGTTATACATTTATCATTTAGTGTTGGTTCACTTTTTGGTCTCAAACTCATTTTAATCGGTTCTTTTTTGCTCAAATAATAAAATTAGATGAAATTGGCCGATTACAGCAATCGCAGCTTTTTCTCTTTCACTGATCAATATACAGCCACGGAAATTAAGTTTGCACTATTTTCAATATCTATTGCGCACTAGATGGAAATTGTTTGATTAAATTGTAAAATTTGATTAGATAACAATTAAAATCAAACACATTAAACGCAAGTTTTAATAGCTATCTAATCAATCATACAATTTTATCAAACCTTTTTATCGTATGCGTAAACGATAGCGAAAACAGTGCAAACTTAATTTCCGACGCTGTATTTTTACGACCTGAAATGACCTTCAAATATCACTTAGAGCTCAATAACGGATCGACCTTGAACGACCTTGAACGATCAGATTTATTGTTTTTCAATCCGAGGAAGCTAATGGTTAAATTTCTGAAAAATAGGTCTGCAGCAATGCCTTGTTCGTCAGTTATGCCTGAAACAAAATTAAATAAATTCGTAAAATGAAGAAAACGCATGGTATAACGTATTTGACGTTATACCATGCGTTTTCTTCAGCCTGTCCACAGCCTGTCCACGTAAAATAAAAAAACGTCATTTCGAACTATGGTCATTTAAGTCAAATCATAACGCAAACTCATAGGTGTTGTTTAATGTTTGCTATCTCAACCTTATTTATCCTTGTCCGGTAAAGTTTTTATACTTTAAGTATTTGAGAAAACACACTTTTAGTAGTGAGCAGCAATATTATACAGCAATAAATTTAAGTTGATGATGATGTGGATGGTAACAATGGAAATGGCAGGCCATTGATGAAGACAAAAATGTAAAAAGAGAAAGATGAATTAGTAAAAAGTTTTTTGAATATAATAAGGTTTATAAAAATGGTTATGAAAAAAGATTGAGTTGAAGTGGTAGTCAAAGAGCCAGAATAAGTGAAGCAGCAGTGAGAGATAAAATAGTGATATGATTCTAATTCATGAGAAAAACTGAATCACAGACTGAAGAACAAGTTAATTGCCAATGGAACTGGTTGAATGAACTGACGATCAGCAATACACAATGTAATAAAAAAAGACTGGATACAACGTTTACCATAAGCAATTGATCATGATCAAAGAGGTAAATGGAAACCAAGTTACTGAAACTTGCTTTTTCTTTTCTTTCTCCTCCGACTTCTCTGTCTTTCTTTTTCTCCCTCTTTTCTTCTTTTACTTATCTTTCTGGACACACATAATATGCTTATGGCTGGTTTGGTTAAAATTAAATCGGAAGAAATTAACAAGAGTGACTGATTTGGGCTCATATGAGTTTTCCGATGAAAGACAATTCGGAATAAAGTAGATATCATCGTTATCGATAATAATGATTGATTTATTGCCATTTATAACAATCATCTTATGCAGATTGAACAACTATACGTTCGAAGGCTCAAGATTATTCAATTCTTTATTTGACCTCAAATTGACATTGGATGAAACGGAAATATTTTTCAGCTCGGTTGATGTCAGTCACATGTTCATTAATCATACTGGCCCAAGGATAGCACCAAAACATGGTAATTGG